CTGTTAAAAAGAAAGGTGATGAAGCACAAAGGTAATCATGCTCTTGTTCCTGGTTTTTCAGGAATGTGTTGCTGGCATTAAATAAAAAAATAGTGAAATAGTGAAATCTAGTGAAAGTTTGTCAGTTTGAGCACTTAATAACTCGTCTTAATGGTACATTCAATCGGGATTTATACTTGAATGGTGGCAGCACAAAACTGTGATTGCTGTGCAATTCACAGGTTTGACGTAGTGACACATTAATTAACTGGTTTCACGTTTAAAATGTCATGCTTATTAAATCATAAAGGCTTTTAAGTGTCTATATTTTCACTCTCAAAAAAGGAGCTGGGACATGTGTCCTGCAACCTACGTCACTTTGGACAAAGATGCCACCTCAATTATATTGTAACACTGTAACAGATGGACAAGAGAAATGAGTAAGGTTCGCAGTGTGGGAGTATTTCAGATACATGAAGAATGGCCAGAATTAGCGGTTGAATCCTCATTGTTTTAATGTAACGACAGCGTTAAATAACTCAGTTCTAGAGTGCTCGTATTTGCATTGATTGTTGCTAGGTTACAAAAGTTATCCTGCGGTACTTCTGTGTGTTCATGACATCAGTTTACCGGCTTTTATTCAACAGTAACTTAAAAAGAAAACCAAAACAACAATTGACAGAAACTACGTCAATGCATTGTGGTTAGCTTCTTCTTCCATACAGACCTCAGCCATTGTGATTGACAATGATGGTCTCAGAAGTCCCACCTCTTCTTAATTCTGCTGTGATCAAGTAGAGAAATATGGGAGCAAGGCGTTGGCTTAACTATTTTCCTCCAATAGCCCAATGACTCAAATCAGATGATCTTGAGGGCGTTGTTGCGATAAGGATGCTTAATGCTGACACAGCTGGACTGCAAATGGTTTTAAAAAGAAACTGTCGCTACTAACTGGAAACAAACTAATTTCACTGTATTAATGAATCATCTGTCTGAGAAACCATCACAATAAGTTGCAGTTAAAGGGTCAAACAAATCTAATGCAGCAGGTAGGATCGCTACCCAGCACTCCACGCCCAAGGACAGGTTATCAGTAGCATCTTATTTGATCAAACGTTATTTTATTATTTCATGGAATTAAATAAAAACTCTCAAGGTCTTGGTAAGAGACTATCTCAAGTTGATTTCTACTTTCTCTGTGGAGTGAATGTGCTGCATTGTAGCTTTAATTACCTGGTGTAAAACACTAGGTTACGATTGATTCAGTTACTCAATTAAGTAATTAATAACCCTGTGTGATAGGAGGCTTTCATTTTCTCTCATTTTTAATTTCTTTCTACCTTTTTTAATGAACTTTAAAAAACCAAAACACATCACATAAACAGGGTTTGGGGCCGCCTGTAAGACTAATAATTATTTTTTTTAAAAAGGCCTAGATGACGATAAAGAAAGTCTTATTTTAGTTTATTATGCACATTTGCAAATTTTCCCTTGGAGGAATTTTGTTTTAAACGTATACACCAAAGATACTACATTTTAAAATTTTGTTTGTCTTTAATATTTTTTGTGTTTTATGACTGTGTCATTGCTGTCTGAGAAGGTAGTGATAAATGACACACTCGATTTATTAAGAACGTTCATATGATTTTAATTTTAAAAATTTTGAAACTGTGATTTATTACTCAGACTGTAACTGCACCATCAAAATCCCTAATCCGCACATCTCTGGTTTCATATCAACACGTAGACATTTTACATTTTGATCAATTTAAATTAGATCAGTGCAGAGACTGGCATGCTTGTGGATTTTGGCTGTAGTGACATTTCTGACACTGTTATAGGTCCTTGTCAGTTTCTCACTTCAGTTTGGTTTGTTTTTAAGATTTTAACACAAGTCTGAGCTCCTGGTGCACTGAGTTCACCTGTGACGTTTTTCTGAGCGTTCGCACCCACATCAACCACTACTTTTTGATTTACTCAGCATTTGGGTCCTGAATCTTTAACAAGATTTCTATCCAATAAAAAAAAAACCACTGAGCCCTAGTTACATTGGATAACCTGTTCAAAAGGATCTCCCTCCTGGCCAAAGCCTTAACTCAATATTCATGTACTACCACAAAAACTGGGTTAAATGCCCAACTTTTACAGTCATAAAGCAACAAACAATAGAACAACCTCCCCGTTACATAGAGCAATCTTCCTAAAGAGAAGAAATACAATAAATCAAAATACACAATTTGAGCTTATTTTACTGGTTTTGAGTGTCTGTGTGGCGTTGGCCTTGTTTCAGGCAGCACCAAGTCCTGGCTACAAACCAGACAGCTTTGCAGGCAACACGACAGAGAGTACACTGTGTGCTTCTCATTGTCCAACCCCTGGAATGTGCTGACGATGCAGGGTTCACACTGGTTCAGTCACACTGTTGCACTCCTCACTCTGGCCCTGTCAGGCTCTCATGCTCGCTCGCCCTGCTATTTTTACACCACGCTATACTTTTGCAAGTTTGTCAGTTGTGCAAAGTTTCTAGGGAGCATGCTAGCAGCGGGATTGTCAAGAAACCTGATGCAGAAGTAATGTCCACGCCTTTGGACGGATGATTAAGTCAGCGTGCGTGTGGTCAGTTAACATACATCTCCCATAACTTTTCCGAGAGCAGGGGAGGGAGGGAGGTGGGGGAGCGGAAGTCAAGTCCGATTATGAAAAGAAGGGGGGAAAGGAGAGAGGGAGAGATATTTGAGAATGAAAAAAGGCTCTGTGTAAGTTGGGCATGCAGCCAAACAGTGCAAGTGCCAAGAAGGGAAGCCACTGAAGCCTGAGCCAGAGGGAGCAAAAAAAAAACAGAGCTTCCCACCTTATGTGTGAGGAAACCAGGACTGCTATGTTACGGCAAAAATCAGAATCATGATTATTTTTTAATTGGTAGTGAGACCACACTCAAAAAAAAAAAACTATTTACTCATTAATTTAATTTGCATTTACATAAAAAAACAAAAAGTAACTTAAAATAAATAAACAAAAAAAAAAAGTTACAATTTGCTCTCTCCGTCTGCTCACTGTGTCCCTCTGCTTTACTAACACACACACACAGCTGGTTATTCTGCAGTTTCCCACAGTGTGCATTCTGGAGCAACTTCCTCGCACTTTTAAGATCTGAGCTCGTGATGATGACTCATTGAAGTCTGCATAGTCTGCTATAAAGGAACTGGGAGGGGGGGGTGCCAAGTGGGACTAAATGAGCACACTATGGCCAGAAGAAGAGAAATTGTTGATTCTTGATTATCTTGTTATCGGCATGAGAAGTCAAAACTGTTATTGGAACTGAAATTCGATTTAATGCCCAGAGGAAACAGGAGGAAATCAGGAAACCAAGGGTGAAACAGATTCTTTATAAGTGTGGTGAAGCTCGAAAAAGCTTCTTCAATGTATAAAAATGGTGAAGCATTAAGCTTGACAAGGGCTTGTCAGACGAAAAGCTAATTATAAAACATCTCTATCTGACACTGAGATCAGTATTTTGAATCAAGGTGAAAGTATTTTTCAGGCTAAATTATCCTGAAGTGACATTTGGGCTCCTATTTGGGTGGGAACAATGGCGGCTATGAAAATAATTCATGGAAGGACGGAAATTGAGATGTGTTTCTGTATAATGCTGAGGTAATAATGACAGCTCCTCCGTGGTCAGTGAACTGTGTCAAAGCAGGAGAAAGTGAATTGTGCCTCTCTCCTCCCAAAGTGGTCATTCATTATGCAGAAAGCAGGCGAGTGTGTTCACTGCAGGCTTTCAGAGAAGACAGCACTGAAAAATCTGAAGATCAGATTCTCAAATTTACCATTTGAGTCCACGAATTGTGCAGAACTGCGACAAATCTCTCTACAACGAAGATGCATTCCTTTAACATGTTCTGTTACCTCCTCAAATCAAAACCTCTAACCTACATAGAGTGCCAAAATTTGACGTAAAGGAGGACAGAGAACAAACAAAACACAATGATCTGGTTTTCTTTTTGTGTTGAGGAAGGCAAAACAGGGGGGAGAAAGACCGAAGAGGAGAGACAGACAGACAGAAAGAGAGAGAGCATTAATAAAACATGACTGCATGATTTTCCAACCTCAAAGAGGCGAACACAGGAAGGCGCACTCCCTGAGCAGTAGCTGAGGTTCAGCGCAGGGTGAAGGGAACAGTAATCTCTAACTAGCTCAACACTGCAGTGCACTAGTTTAGCTTTGGGGCGCAGCGGCGCTTTCTGATCACACTTGTGCCAATTCAGAGCCTTCTTCAGGCCTGACTGATGTCGTCTCCTGTCCTTTTATTCATGCCATTCCTGATCCCACTCCTCTGTTTCTTTCTTCTTCTTCCTGCTGCAGGCTGAAGGTAAAAGAGGCACGGGCTGGATGAAGACAGATGAGAGTTTTGTTGGTAGTTTTGCAGGAGGTGAGGATGATGACAACCACAATGGCGTTTCACCGTGTCTGCAGGGCTATTTTAGGAAACTCGAACCAGTGCATCGCTGCCTCTCCTTCACCACTCCCGCAGGCTTCTCATCAACATGATCTGAACCTCCGCGCCGACATGGGTGGTAACTCGTCTTGGCATGGAGTTTCTCAGCACAGGCCAAGAGAAACAAGAGCATACACAGATACACACACAGAGGACTGCGATACAGCGCACTGATATATCTGGCTTCTCTTTCTAAGTGACGATTAGCATAAGAAAGTTTGTTTTGCTTGAACCATCTGTTGACAGCTGAACAGGAATTATAAAAACGATGACAAGGCTGATGTCATAGCACGCTGACAGAAATTCAATATGGTCACATCTGAATTACACTCATTTAAATACATGTGTGGCTTGAATACAAACCAATTTTCCACTCGTTTGCCCCAAAAAGCAGCACATTAGAGGCTATAAACTAATTTCTGGTAGTTTTATGCTGTATATGTACATTTTTCCTCTAACAACACAAAAAAAAGTCGCCATCATTAACATCAAACTATGGCAAGACACACTCTCCTTCTGGTGCCCACGGTGAACATTCAACGCTGTCGGTGAGTTTGAGCTCAAAACAAACCATCGACCGTTGACTGTACCCTGAGGGACGCCACAGCACATCATCCTTGAAAGATGAATATAAGATAAATTGCCCTCTTCTCACACCAAAGAAACACAGAAAACAGTCGGTGGACGGACTTCAGCTCAAATCTGTTAAGCTGAATGTGACGCAGGGGACGTTCACCATTAAGGCTGCAATAAACATTCATTGCTGTCGGTGGGTTTACATGAGGATAACTCACTGATCAATGAATGCAGACTGCGGTTCAAACACCTCAGTGACCGGTGAGCTGAAGGGTCGGACTATTCAAAGACTCTGATACAATGTGCTAACAGAAGAACAAAGTAAGTATTTAATCTAATAATGATGCCTCAATGTGATCTAAAAATGCAAATAAGACTATCAGGAAGATGTTTGAGTATTTCTGAATACTTTTCAATGACTAGGGTGGAGGTGTCCCACAAAGACATTACAGCATGCTGCTGAAAAAGGTTTTATTTATACTTTCCAAAGCAATAATGTGTTACAGATATCTAAAAAAAATTTGGTATTTCAGAAAGCAAAAGGAGGTTTTTGCCATATAATATCACTGACACTTGTATAAGATGCAGCTACATATGAATGCCTCAATCTAGATCTGAACTATTGGACTAGAGACCACCTGGGCATTCAGTAACTGATCCAGGATCAGCAATTTGAACCAATCATGTCGCCCCAATTGTAAGATCAGCTGCGGTAAAGAGAGCTCAATATTCAAAGTTCATGAGAACATTCAAGGTCATTTAACTTAAGTATATTCATTTTTCATGATGATATAGCACTAAGTGGATTTGTGGTTCATTTCTGCTGCTAAATATTCAAGTAAATCTTAGCTTTAACACAATTTTAAAAAGAAGTTGGATTTTAATTGTGAATTTGCATCAATGCAACATGGAATTAGTTAAAATTATTAAGATGTGGATATGTTTTAGTAAATTTGTTTATTTTCGTTACTTTTGTTCCAAATTAAATGTGTGCGGTATGCAAAGAATCAGATCGGGAAATTTTCAAATTTTAAATAATAAAAAAAAAAAACAGGGATTAGGGGCTAAAAAAGCTGGGGCCTTAACCTTAAATTACAATACAGAATAGAAAATAACTTTTTTTGTTTTCTAACACTGTCTACCACAGAGTTACTTGAGTGCTGGTATAGAGATACTTGTCTCTGAGAATTCCATTATAGTCAAAAGGTAGAAAGACTTATATTCGTGGTGCCCATACAACTGAATAATAACTATTTCAATCTGGGAGGGAAAAAGATAAAAAGAAAAATGGACTATAAGGAATCTCTAAAATATTTTGATGTCAGTAGATGTCATCCAGAAAACATAACCAAATCAATCCAACTAAACTACAATGAGTTTTACTTTTATTTCATTTCCAGCATTTTTCTTGTGTGAATTTGAATACAAATGTTTGTTTTTTTCTTCCTTTCTTTAAACTAGTAACCGCTATAGAGTTTGTTAGTCAGCACTTCATTTTAGCTGACAGTCCTGGCACACAGGTACGGGGTTCAACACGTTGCCCCAAGCAGCCCCACCGTTCTTAAGATGTTATATTCTTCTTCCCTGATTTTTTATCACTTCATGTTTCTATTTCCATGATCTAAAAAAATATGTTTCAATCCTCTTTTGTTCATGTTGTCTGCTTTCCACTTGACTTCAAACTGACGACAGCATCAAATGTGTGAAACAAGCTGGAAAATCCTTTCAGCTGTGTTTTATGAAACTGCTGCTTGTTGTATAATCTGATATCCTCTGACCTAAAATTCACAAACTCTCGGTGAGTCTACAGTCTCTTTTCAAACTTTGTGATATTCCTGGAACTCCAAGGCCAAAGAGAAGCTTGTGAAGGACATATTTAAAGACTTTTGTGAGGCTGGGACCTGAGACTAATGATTACAGCACGGCCTCCCAAATGAAGAGTAAATCTAAAGGTGACACCGTGTAAAAACACTCGGTTCAAATCAACCCACACAAATGTTTTAACTTCTAAAAGTTAAGCGATTCATACCGCCAATTCCTGGAGAGTTAATCAGCCCTGTAATCCTATTTCAGGAGACACAGACACATGGAAATAATCTTGGTGTGATTGCCCTGTAAGGTTATGTTAACATGCGGGGAAATTTCAAACACAGGTGATTTCCAGCCAGAGGAAAACCAAATTCGCTTTTTCACAGCTGACAGTGTCACCATGGAAAATGAAGAAACGCTTGAGCTGCTTCTTGTTTTACAGACGCTAACTCTGCACACTTATAAGAACAGATGAACTAATGGTCAGAAAATCAGACTTGTAAATCTGTATACTAAGTGCTATACTAATTTGAAATACTATGAATTTTTAATTTTGATGTAAACCCGCAAAAGGATAATGTCATACTAAACGTTTGAAATGTTGCTTTTCTAAAAATAAACTCTCCGCTTGTCTCTTACATGGTGTTTTTCTCAGGATTGTATGTGAAAATGTCTCTGAATGACCCAAAATTCTATCAAATTAAGCTCCTTAGAGTCTGGAGCATTTTAAAGCTGTGGGAAATACATTCTGACTTTAAACGAGGGATTAATCTGTGAAGTAAATAAGAGAATGACTTCGTGAAATGTCAGTGCTTGAGTAAAGCGGTATATCTGCAGAGGCCTGCATGCGGCGGATTCATACTCTTTACTGCATGTAGGGGAGGCCATACAAAAGTCTGGTTGTTTATCCCTGTGGAGTTAGGCTTTGTCATCACACACTGTGAAGTTATAGGCACTGACACTGGGAACAGCATGACCCACTTCTCCCTGACCTGGAAACACTCCGCAGGCTGACCCCGAGTCTAATGCCAACGCCGGTTGCATCAAGCAAAAAAGGGGAAAGAAAAAAAAAAAAGATGTTGAATCAAATCTAGGCTAATCATGAATTATTAAAAGCTAAAATGATAAGAAAGCACAGAGGTCAGCAACAGCAGCTCCCAGACACACTGCGGCACTCATGCCAGGTTAGTGGAGTGTGAGAGGCTGCCCATGGGAGAAGACAGGGAAAAATAAAGTGAAAGGAAAAAGGCTACCCGTGGCCTTTCATTCTTCATCCGCTTATCTATACATTCTCTTCAGTCCAACAACAGGCCTCGGGCTTCCAGAGAAATCCACTTTGAAGAAGAAAGGAGAAAACAGCTCAAAGATCTGAAGGGGCGTCAAGTGTTTGACTGCTCTGCTGTGGAGCGAAATGAAAACCTGGTGATCCTGAGTGACTTTTGGACACAAGCATATGAAGTTAGCACAGTTATGTGAGGACAAAGGAAAGGCATGTGCTGGGCTCTAGCCAAGTAGTTCCATATGGGTGTTGAGTTCATTGAGTCCAGGTGGCAGTGGGAGTATACGTCAAACGAGGGTCCGGCATGGATATACTGCCTCCTTATGGCCAAGAGAGAGCAGTGCTGCAGGAAGTATCTGATTTATGAGGTGGGTTTCATAACAGGAGAACGACCAGAGAAACTAGGTAGTCCTCTTACCCAGAAGTGAATCAAAATCAAGTCATCTGATAAAGAAGTTTTTCTCACAATTTCAGTTTAAGGTTTAGAGCTCATTGCTGTCATATAACACTTATAAACCTTTAAAAAACACAATCATATTTCACTTCATAACAACTTGCTTCCTTCAACAAGTGGTAATAAGGAGGAAATTGAATTGTAGTCCTAAAATATGGTGTAGCCAATATTGCATTGATTTGTTTTCTTGCTAATGTATAAATAATAATAAACTCCGGACTAGCTCGTAGCGAGTGTGTGAGTTTTGACATCGTGTAAAATCTTAATTAAAACTAATTGAGGGTTTATAAACTATATCACCTATACTAAATTGTAAATACTGCATTGACAACATATCAAATGTAGAAACTGAAAATGTAATGTTCTATTAAAAAATATTCTAATTTTGAATTTGATGCAAGCATGTTTCACAACAGTACAAAGGACAATAAAACGCTGAAAATAAAGTTAAACATTCAGAATAATCATCTAAGCATAAAATAGTAAAGACTTTAGATATTTCATTTTAAGTTTAGGTAATCTGAATTTTGAGGATAGGCTTAAAACCCACCACTAAAATCACTGTTTGTGTACTCATTTTTTTACTGCATCTACAACTGCTTGTTAAAACTGAACAATTTAAAGAGAGAAACCATATATGAACATGATCCTCAAATGCGCTTGTCCTCTCTAGAGACTCTGAGCCCATTCACCATGGACTGACGCATGATGGGAAACTGTCCTGTGGTGGTCTGATAAATCAAATTTGAAATTCTTGCTGGAAACTATGAACTCTACACCCACGACTCTGAAGAGGAGAGGGACCACCCAGTTTGTTATCAGCACAAAATTCAAAGGCGACCGTCCCTGACAGAGATGGATAAGTGCCTATGGTATGGATAGCTTACAAATTAGAGCAGCCATGGTTATGACTGAACAATATATACAGTAAAATATATACAACAACAATATATATATATCCATGTTTTTGTGCAACAGGCACTGCCATCTGGACAATACCAGAGAAGAAGATGCCAAGCTACATTTTGCATGTATTACAACACCACGGCTCTGAAGTAGAAGAGTCCAGGTGTGAAACCAGGGTACCTGCAGTCCTTACCTGTTACCTATTAAAAACATTTGTTGCATCATGAAACAAAAAATCCACAATAAAAATCCATAATGCAAATCCATAAGAGGGGTTCCACAGAGATCAGTTCTGGGCCTGCTACTTTTTTCTATTTACATAAATTGTCTCCAAATGCTGCTTTTCACCTTTACGCTGATGACACTGTCATTTATTGCTTTGCACCTACCCCTACAGCCAGAGCTTTCTTCAGTCTTCAGCATGCATTTGATTTAGTACAAGATGAACTTTAGCAACGGCAACTCGATCAAAATGCAGACAAAACTAAACTCATGGTTTTTACACCTTCAAGAGTCAATGCTGCCAAAGACAGTTGTGAAATTGAGTCAGTATCCCACTTTTAGTTACTTAGAGTTTTTAATTGATGATAATTTGTCTTTATTTAGTATATTACCAAGAGCTGAAGGTTTCACACAGGTTTTACTACAGGAACAAGTCCTGCTTTTCCTTTTATGTAAAAAATGATTGGCGTCTCCCTTTTTACCCATTTTTGATAACAGTGATGTATTCACCATGAATACCTCGGCTCACTATTGTACTTATTTTCCCAAGTCAATTTGACTGCTTTGGCTA